CTGGGATTGACTCTCCGGAGGCCCGTCGGAGGAGCACGCACCGAGTGATGCAGAACGGAGATAGAGACGAGGAGATGAGACAGAGCAGATACGAGGGAGGAGAGCGAGAGACTGAGAGGAGATGGAGACGCTGGGAGAGAGAGAGGCGGAGCCGAGCAGAGAGGAGGCGACGGAGGAGAGTGAGAGGAGCGAGAGAGAGGGAGAGTGGGTCGAGGATGAGGAGAGACGAGGGAGAGGACGGAGCAGCCTGGGACGAGGGAACGGGGGGAGGGAGGGGAGGAAGATAAGAGAAAGAGAGAGCGAGGAGGAGGAGGGAGTAGAACTGGGAATCGCGAGACAGGAGAGACGGAGGAAGGGCCGACGAGATGACCGACGAGATAGAGCAGAACGATGAGACGAGCGAGACCGAAGAGGAGGATAGTGGAGTGAGATGAGGACGAGAGAGAGGAGCAGCGAGAGAGAAGAGACTGAGGAGAGGAGAGAGAGAGAGCTGAGCGGACCGGGGTTGAGCCGGAGACCGGCCGAGGGAGAGAGAAGGAGAGGGAAGACAGAGAGCACACGTTCGAGAAGAGGGGAGAAGGAGAGGAGGACGGAGGAGGCGGAAGAGAGACGAGGTGGCCGAGGGGAGAGAGGGAGGAGGATTGAGAGAAGCGAAGAGATCGGCGGGCGACGACATGGCGAGAGGACGAGAGAAGAGGGGAAGAGACGAGGAAGGTGACCCGTGAGGAGGACCAGCACACAACGGAACCCGCCGAGAGAGAGAGAAGAGACGAGCGTGAGGATTGAGGAGGGGGCGAAGAGCAGAGGAGGACCGACGAAGGCGGGGAGAGGGAGTAAGGAGACGGAGCGAATGAGGGATGGACAGATAGGAGATGAGACGAGAGGTCATGGCCAGAAAGCGAGCGAGAGCGACGGAGATGAGGGGAGATGATGGAGATGGGAGGATGCTGGGGGCAGAAGAAGAGGGACGAGGAGGGACGAGGGAGAGAAGGAGAGACAGTCAAATCGGAGCGCATACGCCATTGCCATGGAGGCCAAGAGAGGGTGAGAATCTTCTCATTTAAAGTAAGGGGCAGGGGTTGCGGCGGCTGCCACCGCGGTAATATGCCGTTTTAGGGACACTTAGGATAGGCAGAGACAAAAAGTCCGAGACGAGAGAGAGAGAGAGGAGAGGACGAGCATGGAGCGCCCAGAGAGACGGGAACAGGAGAAAGGATGCAGATGGAGAGCAGAGAGAAGAGGACGAGAGACTGAGACAGAGAGAGAGAGGATGACAGAGAAGAGAGGAGACGAAGAGACAGCAGACAGAGACCAGATGGACAGAGACAGCAGACAGAGCAGAGAGAGAAGAGAGACTGGACGTTGTGATGGAGAGAGAGATCCAGATGGAGAGAGAGAGACTGAGAGAAGGAGAGCAGAGAAATGAGAGGAAGAGGAGAAGAGTGCTTGACGAAACAAGTGAAAGAAAAAGTTGGATGAAGAGTACGAGAGTGATAGAGTCGAGAAGAGAGAGAAGACAAGCACGGACAGAAGACAGAGAGAGACAGGACAGGAGACCAGGAGAACAGAGACAGACGACGAGAGACAGAAAAGCAGGAGCAGAGAGAAGAGGTCGAGAGCATCTCCCGGGAGGACGAGGGAAGAGAGAGAGAGAGAGAGGAAGAGAGAGAGAGAGAGAGATGAGAGAGAGAGAGAGCAGGGAGATGAGAGAGAGAGAGAGACGAGAGCGAGATCACATGGGATTAGCTGTTTAAATAATAATTAACCGGAAAATTCACAAGGGTCTGGCAGAAGAAAGAAACAAAAACGTATTCATTACCGAACATAATTGCGAAGTGTGATCTGACAATTGAAGACGCCCATGGAGGAACAATTTGTGCACAAAATTCTCTTGCATCCATATTATGCACAGGCCGCGACATTGCAAAGTGATTAAACTCGTGCCATGTTAGATCCTTACTGTTGATTACGCGCGATTTTATTGCAAGCACATCAGCGGCCCGTCCCACTGCCGACCCGTCGTCCTGCCACCAGGTAGATGTCGTCCCGTACCCCCGGCAGAACACCACGACTGTCCGCCGTCCGCGTCGATGTTGTCCGGTTCTAAGAATTGCATCGCAAATGTCAAGGTGGTAAGAAAGAAGATGCAATTCCCGCGATTGCTCGTATTTCGAATGACCGATTGATGTGTGATGGTGATGTGTGCGTGCGCGTGCGTCCTCGCGCTGCGTGCACGTGTGTTAGTGTGTGCCGTATGTGCGTGCGTTACGTGCGTGGACGTCCGCGCGCGTCGAGTGTTAATATGTGTTTTTTTTCTCATGAGACAATGCAGTCATTCTACACACACATTAGGCATTATAGATATATAATATATACTAATATATATATAATAATAAAATATATCAATTGAAAATTTCGATAAAAGATTTCCCAACAGAGAAAACGAAATGCAATCTAGTTTTTTTCACGAACTTCTTGTGCAATGTAGAGTAGTGCGCAGACACATGTCCACACTGCTTGTCCGTCGAAGATTGCCGGTTTCTCTGATAGAAAGAAAGGTAGGGAAGGTGGACGAAAACGTAGGTAGACCAGATATGATACAGGTGCCAGTGTGCTGGCAAGCCCCGCCCACAAATGCCGAAGTCGCTCATTCATACCCTCCCCTCGTACGCTACACGCGGCCAGTCCGCCCCCTGCGGC